ATAGAATGGCAGATAAAGATAGTAATATTTGGAATGTAAAATCTGGTGCTATTGTTGGAAAATGGTATTAAAATCAGTGATCACAACATAGTGCCATTATAAACAAAAAGAAAACTATATGTGAAAGAAGAGGACTGATTCTTTAGGTAATTCTGATCATTCTCGTGCTGAGCGATTATTAACAGCTTTTAAGAACTAGTGTGCTTTTGGTTGCATTTTTATATGTACATGTAGTTTTAATTGTATCTATATAAAAATCTTAATTGTTAACATTGTTTTATGCTCTTAAGTAATATTTTGTAGGATTTATTAATAAGTGGATTTTCCACTCATTCTTTGCAAAGAATCCTATGTTTAAAAAAATTCTAATTAATTCTCAGCATATTGCTGAATTAGAAAGAAGTAATTTTTCATGGAAAGTCTATAGCCGAGCACTCTAGCCCAGAACCAGATGGCCTAATGGTTGCACACCTGTTTATCTCTGAAGCTGATAGGAAGCATTAAGCATCAGGACATAGGGAAATCTTAGACTATTTTAATCTGGACTCCGCAGCTTGGTTCTTAGTCATTAATTCCTTATTGTACATGCGAATCAGACTCTATTATTTAAGGCTTCCCACTTATCCTATATGAAACCTCATTTAAAATTATTTTCCTTTCAAACTCTCAAAGCGGCCACCTCAAAGTGGTGTGTGAGATCCTCTCAGATATATACTCAGCACCTGTGGTTTAGTCTGGCTCTCATCCTCTTCCTTTGTACTGCCTGTGAGGAGCTAGACCTCCCGTGGGAGTTCGAGGAAAGCTGGCAGGGACAGTTACTGCAACGCACTGCGCTGGAGCTGCCGCGGTGCCCGCTTCCAGACTGTGCACGATTCATTAACCTGCCCTTGGTCAGCCTGGTTTTTGTTTCGTCAGCTCAAAAGTCAGGTGCTTTTCATTCTGTAGTAACTACATGTAGACCAGTGTAGAAAACTAGACAACACTATGTCTGAGGTATGTTGTTAACAGCAGTAAAAATCTCCCCATGACCCAAAGAAACATATTTAAAAATGTAGAGGGATGTTCTCTCTCAACAGCTTCCAAGTATCCCATGTAGGTACATTAGGAGCTAGGATCTCTACAAAGTCATTTCATAGAGCCGGGGTCTTGCAGGAGTCACTTCAGAATGTGTAAGTTAAAACCTCACTTCATTCCTTGACTATAGAAGGAGTCTAAATTTCCTTCGTATGAGTATCTCTTGGCACGTAACTGCATTAAAACAGAGATTCTGTAGCATATAATGTCACCGAATTCTCATTTACAGGTTAGACAAAAGTTGCTTCCTTTAATGGTAAAGAAATACCATTGCTGACCACTGACATGATGGTAGTTTTGTTGCAGTCAGTTCAGTAGAGTCCCTCTACGCAGTGCATTGCAAGCAGTTGTGGAAGATCTTGCAGACTTGTGCTTTAGAAAACAGAGGTCCAGATCTGGCATGTACTGCTTTGCAGTAACGTCCAGAATCTTAATTTGTGCTTATGTAGGAAAACAGCTGGCCTGCTCCTTTGAAAAGTTGTCCTGTACAGAGGCATGGTGAACACGGTGAAAAAATCTCTTTAGGACAGTTTTTTGTGGCATATCAAGTCAGTTTTATGGTTATGATACAGTAATGATAACTGACTGGATCTTTGAAGACCTGAAAGATAGCTAAAAACTTAATTCTCTTTGCAGTGGGCATCTAGTATCTTCTGCCATCCCTAACCAGGGTTTAATCCTTGTGTTACTTCATAGCAAACTGGAAGAATTATGAATGTAGTGTTTAAGAGAATTAGAAGGATTTTCTTTTTAAAATTCTATATTGCAGCACAGTAGTTTTATAAGGATATTGTGTGCAGGGTACACTAAACTGGTACCAAAAGCTGTGTTTAAACTGGTGTTCAAAGCAGTGCTTCAGCATTTGAGAGTGCATGTTGTGGCTCTATCCACATTCCACGTCATGCTCAAACTCTGATGCAGGACATATTTTCCACAAGAGGAAGTTGCATGTGTACTGGCCAAAAATGATCCCTAATATTCAAGCAATCAGTAAAATAATCAAGGAAATATTACCATGTAAAGCAAAGGTATTCTTATAATCTGTAGTAGAAAAAGAATATTAGTCCCTACTTGACTTGCAGTCCTTAATCCTGTTTACCACAGGTTTTAGCAAGAGACAGCTGTAGGAGTTTAGTATTGCAAGATTCCCTCATAGCAGAGATGAGGCAATCAAACTAGTAAACAAAAGCAAAAGTGATTTTTCCACACATTTTCACTGAATGGGTGCTATTGATTTGTGGCACCCACTGAAGTGGGGAAAGCTATGAATTCTGAACCTACAGATTACTCTGATCTTTCTCTTATTTGTATGGATATCACATTGATGCCACCTGCTAGGTGCAGAACACTGCATGAGAATGTTATGACTAATAGCTCTGCAAAAATGCAGGAGGCCTTGAACTATAAACCTTTAAAAGGAGAATCTGTGATGTGGCCATAAGAGGCAAAAGAAAAAGATCTGAAAGCTTAAAAAAATCTACCTTGTTCAATGAAAAAGAGGAAATAGTATGCACAGATTCCCTTTCTTGCTTCATACTGGGACATCATATTTGTTATTAGTTAAACAGGTAATAATTTTCATTTGGTAAAAACAGGTAATAATTTTCATTTTAATTTTCATTTTTGAAAATGTGTTTAGAAATTCTGATTTCTCAGACCTCATGTCTCTGAGATAAGAATCCCCACTTTCTGAGTGAGATGAGACATGTGCATCACTTAGCAGAACAGAGCTAGAACGAGAACCTGCCAGGATAATTCTACTACTTTATTTTAACAGACACAGAATGTTGTCCTTAGCTTCGAAGGAGAGCTTTTAAAACTGGGCAGATGCATTTATGCAACTCCACGTAGTTACTAAACTAACTGTGGGCAGTATAGTTGGTTGTTAGTGTATGCTATAGATTCTGATCAACACTGAGAAACAGGAAATTTCAGCCCAGATGGACAAGCAAGATAACTGTGCTGTTTTCAGTACATGAACTAGAACAGACAGAGTGGGGTCAGCTCTTTTGGGCTGTTTTGAGTTCAATTTCCAGGGCTTCCAGGGGGTCTCTGTCCTGCATAAGGTATAACTATATACAAGTAGCTCTCTCTGGTGTAAACCTGGTACTCCTGAAGGCAGTATTACTGTTAGCATTAGAGGAGGTGGCAGTGAATGCAATCCTGAGCGTCTTTGAAAATCCAATTCTTTTTCCTCCATTCCCAAATCCTCATAAATTGATGACAAAAAAATGATGATAAATTCTTCTAAGAAAGAACTGTTCCTTGCTAAATACTGGGCCTCTGATCCTGACTGGAGGCATGGCACACTACTCCAAATAATACAAACAATAACCAGTATTTCACATTTTTATTGCACTGGTTTAATCAAAGTAAATTATTTTCACTTGTTCCACTGATTCACAGTGTATACAGAGGTTTTACTATTCACGGTTCTTTGATTTATATCTTTTTGCATGTCCTTTGAATGATTATGAGGAATCTCTTGCTTTAATTAATTTACTTATATTGGAAATAATAGCTCCTCATGTAACTGTATTCTCTTGCTACAGATGATCCTGGTCCTTTCATCTATTTCTTTTTGTATCCTGTGTCCCAATTTCCTATTTGAAATATGTTAATCTGTTTCACTCTGCTCCTGACTGTGGTGTAAGTGACTAATAATTTAAGATCTATTATTAGATCTTACCACGCTGTTAGTCAATGTCACATTGTAATTTAAAGCAGTGTGAAACTATCTTAGGAAATTTTCCCCAAAGCTGTGGAAGTTGTAAGGAGTAACTATACTGATGCTTCAGCCATTTCTAAGGAATGATTTACTTGAATAACTGCTAGGTACTAAGAAAAAGCAGCAGGGGACATTTAATTTAAATGTTATATATGAATTGCAGAGCAATTCAGAAATAGGCAGTAGTGTTTTGTGACTTAAATCCCCAACTACAATAAGAGGTAATGTAATGTACCTAGTAGGAATACAGTCTGATATTCTTCTTACCTAAGTGAGATCCAGATTTACATGTATTATATCAGTTCTGCTTTGGACATGATTCAATCAAATACATCTATCACTTCCATTGTAAAGGTGCCTTTGCATGCAAGGCAGTAATTTAGGGTGCTATTCCTGGAAGCGCTGAACAATTAGGAAACACTCCATACGCAAGAGACCTCTACATAAAGAACTGACACAGACAAAGAGGAAAACAATGCAGCAGTAGAAATTTGTTGCAAAACAGCTCTGACGGAAGTGCTTTGGTAGGTTAACTTGCATGGGTTTTAAGATGTTACTGCTCTCAGCTGTATATTCTGTTCTTCTGATGAAGACTACTGTCCTGTTAGCAGAGGCAGCAGATCAGGCTGCATGTGCACGTTTTCATTCCTTAGCCTACTTTTTGTCAGCACGAGGACACTTTGCACTTAAGAGAAAGTGTCTTTCCTGGACAGGACACGTGTCACCAGCCTAGCCTACCGCAGAGGGTTATAGGAACCAGTGAGCCACATCCTCGTACCACTGACCTCGCCTTTATTAGTAAAACTGCCCCTTTGCAAGCACCTTTATTGCAGTCCCAATGAGAAAAACAAGCTACATCAAGGAAACATAATCTGTCTGTTTAACTTCTTGCAAGAGGGCTGACTTTTTGCTTGCTGCATTACAAAGGTTTTGGGCAAAAACTTGCCACATCATCAAATCTGAATGATGTTTATAAGGTAGCACAGTTTGGGTTCGAGACCGTGGTATGTTCTCAGAGTGGCAATTGTTTTAACTTCACTAACATGCTTCATTTTCTTAGAATGTTTATTTTCACTTTAAAGTATCCACTGTGTATGTGACAATACTTAGTTGATGATAAGAGTAGCAAGTGCTGCTAGAAATTTCATGCATATGTTATCTAAAGTTTCTGGAATAAAATGCATGTTTTTCTTTTCAGGTTAATTGCCCAAATTCATGATGAGTTGCTGTTTGAAGTAGAAGATTCTCAAATTCAGGAGTTTTCAGGTAGATATAATCTCCACTCTCGCACTCTTTTTTTTTTTTTTTCCCTCCATCATGTATTCTTTATTAAATAATAAATAATTAATATAACAGCAAGAGCAACAGTACTTCTCATGAATAAAAGAAATATATACTATGCAGATTTTTCTTAAGGTTTTTTATCACTGGCTCTGGTATAGACAAAACGTTATATATGGAACCTCATCTGGATTTAATCAAAATGCTTATTTTTTTTTTAATTTTCCTATCAAGATTCTGTCATTCAATATGTGAATCCTAAAAAGCTAAATAATACTTTTGCCAAGGTTTCACAGGGTTCCAGAAGGAAGTAATTCAGCTTAAAAAGAATGACTTAGAAAATAACTTTCTAAATACTGAGGGGCAGGACCTATTATATAAAGAAGTACGAAATGCCAAATGTAGTTATAGCCTAATTAACTACTTTTTATATTAAGAGAAATTTATGATGAGCCTTTCAAGGCTACGGATTAGTGAAAATTCCTGTGTACCTTTTTATCCTCTCATCTGGATTGCTTCCAGACATTATTTCCTAAGCCAGAGTTTGTTTCTGCATCTGGTACAAATTTAGCTAAAGAAGGAGGGCACATATAAGGCCATCGGGTCTCTTCTCCCGTGAGTAGTAGAGTTATCCCTGTTGGCACTGAATGTTTAGTCACAAACTTTGATCTAGTTTAAGATGAACAATACCTGTGGCTAAAATAATCAGCGTAAGGTCACAAATAAGTTAAACCAATACAAGATATATTTTTGATTATAACCTAAGCATCTAAGTGGAAATTATTTTCTCCTTCTTGTGCTGCATTCATTTAAATGGTACAATTTGCAGTATCAGTCTCATTTCAGCACAGATCCCTCCTGTGAGTATTACTTCATAATGAGAATGTTAACCCTCCATCTGATCAAAACAAAGGACCTGGAAGATATTTAAGTTCAATTTATTAGGGGCAATGTAATGAATGAGGTTAATATATTAACATTTGACCTTTGAGTAGAGGAGTTCAAATCTGTTTTAAATTAAAAAGCCACCATCCAATTTATCAGAGATTGCAACGTCTGGTTACAAAAGGCCAGCATCCAAAGTGTCACAGTTTCAGTGTTAGAAAGCGTAGTATCTTGAGTAAGATCTGAAAGGCAGCATAGGAGATCTTATTTTACACAATTTGTTTTAACTAAAAAGCTAGGCACATTATGCTCAAAAGATAAAAATTATTCATGCTTGCCTCCACTTGTAGAAACTCAGACATTCTTCAGTCATTGGATCAGATTTTGATCTCTTTTCCTAGTATAAATTTGTAGTAAATTGAGCAAAATAAATCCTTTACCAATATACTTGAGAAAACCTTTAGTCACTTCATGACTAACAGTAATAATTTATCTTATTATAAAAACATAACTAGATTTTTTTTCTGAAGACAAAGAAGGAAAATGCATTTAAATTTTCTTTAAATAAAGTTGAACTAATTGCTATAAATATGAATATTTAACAACAGTAACTTTGGATAATATAAGTATGAAGACTTAACAGCAACTAAAAAGTTACAAGTAACACACATGATATATAATGTGTTTGTTTAGAAGATTGTACAACTTTCCTCTATGTCTTTGCTGATTAGGAGCTCCCAGCTTACATCTTCTTCAGTTCTTCCTCTTTCAAGGCAGATGACTGGAAAACAGTTATTTTTGTTTGAGATATTGACAGAAACCCTAGGGACCTTGATAAGACTTCCAAACTCATTTTCAGTGATAATTATAGTTTCAAATGAGACACTGAAGCATTAATACATTTTGTCACTGAACGTGAGATAGTTTCTTGAATCTCTGAAGTATTATTGCCCCCGTTGCCATAAAATTCAAAATCTTGGGGGTCAATTCTACTTCGGAAGGGAAATCAGTGAATGCAGCCAGATTTCTCTCTGTGTGTGTGTGTGTGTGCGTGCACGCACACATGTGCACTTACCTTTTCCACCAAATACCATAGACCGTGTGCTTACATGTGGCAAACTCACGTTGAGGACACTTCAGCGAAATCCTCGTGCTCAGGCAAGGATAATCCATTTCCTTAATTATTCTATCTCCTGGAGTCCTCCACTTCAAATACTCAAGATACATCTGCTTTGCAAGGCGCAGTGTGACTAGTTAGGGTGCTTCTCCATTTAGCTGCAGTGTTCAACACAAACATTCCCGTAAGCTCTGCTTCAAAGCTTTCGCTGTATAAAAGTAATCAAAGTTGCCACTAGTCAAAGTTGCTAACATGACCTGTAGGAAATGGACCTGGGCATTAAACCTCACTTGCCCGCCTAGTTTACTGTACAAGAAACTTCAAAAAGAAGGAAGCGACCAGCAGTATGCTTTGCCTCTGGGCAATCTTTTGAAGAAAGTGTCTTATGTTATTTTTATTTTCCTAATTAGATGTAGGGGCATGGGTAGAAACTCATCAGACGTTGGTAGATGTCATCTCTCAAAGGATGCAAGATAACGCCCGTTAGCTGCCTGGCACCCGGGGGAAGCACTGACTGCTGCTGAATTTGAACCCTGGTGAGACTCACAGCTTGGGAATCACTGCTCCTCCAAAAAATCCTTCTCAGTAGGATTGGCAGCTCCCAGGTCTCCAACCAGTTCTGCCTCCTTTTCCCACTGCGCACTGTGTGGTTGAGGGGTCTGTGATACCACCGAAATGGTCATTGCGCTTAAGATGGCTGCAAAAGATTGATTATTCAAGGTGAAAGCTGGTCAAAGATCAATCTTTAGTTTTGTTTCTACTTTGCAAAGAGAAAAAGAAAGAAAAAAAAACTTGCAGTAGAGTAATAAAATGCCTTTTGCTTAACACTGCAGACCAACCTAGGACATCTATTGCCCTATTCATTTTGGTAGAGATTAGTTGTGCTACCAGTAAAAGAACTGCTGATCTAGGTGCCTTAAAAGTGATCAAAGCTAGTTCTTCCTTCAGTCTCGTCAGTGAGGATTTTGCTTGATCTGAGTAGGCAGAGAAAGGGTGCAATTGCATTAGCATCTAACTTCCAAAGGGGAGTATGATTATCAAGCAGATCTCCCTGATGTCCCCAGTCCATGGTGTGAACAGTTTTGGTTCGCATCACAGGGCACTCTAAGAGCATTTGACCTACATTCCTTTCAGATTAAATTGAATAGAAAGGCTCTCTTCTAATGCTTTCCAGTTATTTCAGGAACTGCTAACTGATGTAGCAAGTTAGATGAGTGACTTACATGAGTTTTAAGCTGAAAAAGGAGTGTCAGGAGGATGTATGTTCCTGGCTCACTTTAGTGCTTTGGAAGTCCACGTGAAGTGTTGATCTCATTACCCAAAGTTCTTTCTCTTCCTTACTTTTTTTTTTTTTTAAACTTAATGCCTCAGTCTCGCTTTTATTTATTGATATTCTTTAGCTGTCAGCTTTGTCTTTACGTATCTGACAAAGTTTGGTTCATTCAGAAACTGTAAATTACAAAACATGCCGACTTGCAGATTCCAGCCTGCAGATTAATGATCCAGAAATCTCAGTTGAGCAGTCCCACAGTTTGGTAAGGGAACGACATGAATTTAGAGCTGAGAAACAGTGTTTGATGGCTCGAATCGACTGCAGTTCAGTGACATGTTACTCTCATGCACTTAATGTGATTCAGTAAACCACTAGCTTAGTATTTGAAATATTTGCTGTCTGACTCTCTTCATACTTTTGATCTACTTCTTTAGGAAAATAATATCATTTATCTGTGTATCATTTTTCTTACTTGCAGAATGGGTATGAAATCTGAAAATATTTTTAAGAATATTAATTGCAGAATGTCTAACTAAATGTTATTACTTCAGTTAGATCTTAGGGCAAAACATAAGCTTCCTCAGCTTCTCTTTCCTTTATGGAAGAGCCTTGCTTGTATTATTTTACAACACTAAAGTATTTATTTGCTTCTAAAATTATCCTAAGTGGAGCCTGGGAATTGCCACAGGAGAACTGGGATGCTGGTGCTTTCTGTATTCCTATTAGGAACTCTGCAGGCAAAAGAGCCTTCGGTATCCATAAATCCAGTTTATGGTGCACTTATTATACTGTGTCTATTGTATGATTGATCACCAATGGACAAGCAATTAAGGGCTAGTATTCCTACTAGCTTTGTGATAAAAATATTATATGTAACATAAATTAGCTAAATTTGGGAAGACTAATTGCTTCAAAAGAATCCAAAACCCAATGTTACAGTATGTCTACTGTTCACTCTGGATGCACAAGGCAAAAAATCTTTCATTTATTTATCTTTTTTTTAACTCGAGGGTCCAAACTTCGATGTATTTGATGTACATTTGATATACAGTATACATTAAAAGCACATACTTTTCTAAATTGCCTAATTGCCCCAAGAGATATAGTATACTATTTGCATGAGTTCTCTGTTTAGAACAAAGAGCAGGATTTTTTTTTTTTTAAAAGAGCTTTTTAAAAAATCCTCATTTTTATTGGAGGTTCTTGAAAAGATGAAATCAAAACATTTGGCAGAAAATGGTTTGGTTTTGACAAAAAGGTGTCAGCTTTATCATCATAATCTGATTTCTAGCCAGCTTGTCTTTCTGGCTTCCTCACATCAGCAACCCATCAAGCAGGAAGCAGGAGATGATTTTGGCAATGCCAGGAACTGGCATATTGGATCTGAGGGGGCTCAGCAGCACCTCCACGTTCTGAAGTCTGTGTCATCAGATAGACAGACTGTCCTTAAATCCAACTGAGAATGTTTCTACGGACTCCAGAAGTACTCAGCAATTGCAGAACTACCATGATCTGTGTAAAATGACTATTGGCCCTTGTGTTATCCTGAATGAGATGCTGCTAAGTGAGGAAGTATACTTTGAGGGAAGAGAATTGTAGAATGTATTTTTAACATTTCTTTACGTCTTTTACATTTTTAGATTTTTTTTTGTATTTCATATATATCTGGTGGCTTTGAGAGGTAGATTTTGCTACTAATGATTACTGTGGACTTTTCCGTATCAATTATGCTTGCTTAACTGCATTCATTAATGAGAAGCATAATTAAATGCTTGCTACTTGAAATAATGTAGATATTATTGTGGAAATATGTATGTTACTATTTCATATGGACCATTCAATATCAAAGTGCATTAGGACAATTTTTAGCTTTTTTTTTTTTTTTTTAGAACTCATTTATAATTGCACATAATCACACATTGCTAACAGAATTAAAGGAGTTGATTTTTCTATTTAACTTTGTATTTGGTACATGTAATACATACATTTTAAACAGTCTTTCAAATATTTTAAGTGTAAAAACACCAAAGCATCTGTTAAAGAAAAAAATTACTTTGTTGTTATATGGGTTAATGTGTGTTGAGATTATTGCTCTTACATTTCCTTTAAAAACAGACAATAGAGATTCTTGGCTTTATGTACAAATTCCATAAAACTTCCTCTTATTCTGCTATAATTTCAGACTTAATTGAGTACTGAGGCAGCTGCATAAAAGTGCACTTGTTCAAAAGGGGACCCGAGTAGCAGAAGAACAAAAGAATGAACTGATCCTCACAAGATAGTGACATATTCTGTTCTCTGAGCTGTCTTTTTCTAACTTGAAAGACACTGGTGCATAAACCATGATGCCTCCAGATAGCCTTCAATTTGCAAATCCCTATTCCATAGATCATATGTCTGACCAGCTTTGACATGTTTCTGGAGTCATAATTTCATAGGTGAATGAGCTTGAAAAATGTCCTCAGTTTAATAGGGACAAACAAGCTTTTGTTCCTCAGCAGGCATGCGTGCCTTCTCTCCATTCCTATTCACAACACTTCTAAGCTAGCATATTTATCCCGGCTAGTATCAAGAAAATACACATTAAATTTTCAGTTCTCTCTGTCTCCCCACTTGCTGTCATCATATATGGGGGGGCCTAGCGACAAAATATTACATATTTTCAATGTGACACACTTAGCACTTATGAAAAATTCTAGGATGAGCATAATCAACAAATCCCATAATTGCTGACTAAGAGCTTTTAAAGATAAGTTGTGAAGGTTGAGAGAACAGCATTTTAGAGATGCTACTGCAGTATATGGCCAGTTGCATGGAAATACTTCTTAAATTAATATTTTTTGTGTCCTGGATATGCTAGATTCTTGACAGAATATGAATAATCAGTGCTCTATAAACTTCCAATATATGATCATCTCCATATGAAAAATTAAACTTTTTTTCTCTTACTTACTCCCATTGGGAGATTATTTCAGAATTTCATGTCTTTGAAAGCTCCAACTTTTAATTTCCAACCTAAGTGTATTCAGGCAGTTTGCCTATTTATTTTTGTGCAAAGACTGCCATTTAGTTTAAATGTTTCTTTGTTCTTTACTCTCTTAGCAGACTACTAAGCAGGAATTATAATTTGCTGCTTTTTCATGATATTTCTGTTATGATTATGTAGTTACCGTTTTATTAAAAAAACTGTTGTAAAGTAGACACAGACAAATCTCTTGGATATTTTTAAACTATGATATCTAAAGGCTGAAATGCAGGCCAAGCACCTTCAGGTTGTTTGAAGTGAATGGATTTATCGTACACCCACTAAACACTGGGGAGAGACAGAGAAGTCAGTATGACACAAGAAAGAGAACAGGAGAGAACTGCGACAGAATGAGGAAAATGGAACAAACCCATGGAGAGGTTTTTTAAGGCGTTGTCAAAGTGAATGAGGAGCCATTAGGTCTGTTCACTGATGTGGCCACTTTAATCTGCACTCTTCAGCATTAAAAGCAGTTAGGAATGCAGCAGCATTTTGAAAGTGCCAGAGGCTTTAAAGTGGAAACTGTGTGAGCCACCAGAGAAAGGTGTTGAATTGTCATTGCCATCATGAATCTCTCTTTGGAGATAACCATTACAGGGAAAGAACTAAAAAGAGGAATACTCACATTCAGAGGTCCAGAGACTGGGGGCAGAAATTCAGCGGATGTACAGCTAGCTTTGTGCCCTAGAGCACCTTTTGTCATACTGCTCAGCGCCTCAGTCAGGACCGCTGACCCAGGCTCCTTCTTTGGTGTCCACGGGCACTCTCTTTGTCAAGATGCCTCTTCCTCCATCGCTGCTTGTTTGCATAACAGCTCAAAAAAACAGACAGGAACTTGCACTCAGTTGAGCGTTAGCTTGTTCTTGATCTGTTTTGGAACATGAAACGCTGAGTTATTCTGCCCTATATGTGCAAAATATGCTCTCACAAAAGCTTAGTATAGCCATAGCCTGGCACAGAGCTTATCCAACAGAAACATTGTTCACCAAGGGGCTGACAACGCATTAGCCTTCAGAAGGCCCCCTGGTCACAGTGCCCCGATGGCAGCTGCACTGCTGGCAGCTCACGGGAGGTCAGAGTGGGCTTCCCGGGAAGGGGGCAGTCCAGCTCCTCTGCTGACAGACATATTCGCGTGGGACGGATTTAAATGGGGTTTACTCAGGCCAGCACTTCCCGATGCTTTCACAATCTGGGCTTGGCATGTTTTTTTCTGCTCTCAACCAATGGTGTTATGTCCTACACTGAACCATAAGCTGCCTTGGTCCAACATGAAGCCAATGTATAGGTACAACTATGAGTATGTATGTAAACGTGTCTTGGTTGCCTCTGCCTTGACAATTGAGCCACAGAGCTTTGGAGTTACTGCATAATTTGGTTTGAACTTCATGGAAAATCATCTTTCGACAGCTCATTAGCATGCAAGTCTGAGTGAGCCGGCACAGGGAGCTTCAAGCAGAAGCTTGCTTAGCTCATCATCATTAGCAAACCTCAGCATCACAGCAGTGATCCACAGCATCACGTGTTGCTCTTGGGCGTTGGCATCATCAGAAAAGCTTTCAGCAGTGACCAGAAAAAGTCATATGCAGCTTCTCATATTCCTGCCGCTTAATTCTTTTCAAATTCAGCTGCAAAAGGACTGTAGAATCATAGAATCATAGAATGCTTAGGGTTGGAAGGGACCTCTAGAGATCATCTAGTCCAACCCCCCTGCAAACGCAGGGACACCTAAAGCACGTGGCGCAGGACTGCATCCAAGCGGGTTTTGAAGATCTCCAGAGAAGGAGACTCCACAACCTCTCTTTAATTCTTTTCAAATTCAGCTGCAAAAGGACTGTAATAAGTTTAAAGTTAACTCCAAGGAATACGTCTAAGTAATTATTTGGTTTTCAACATAGCAGTTTTCACCACATATTGCCTACTTTGATATTTCTCAATTCCGTGAGGCACGTGATGACATACATTTCAGATCTGACCAGCTGTGCTGCCACAGCAGTGGAGTTCACTCGATACCTTTTGTGCTGGGGCTGCCAGGTGTTCCCGTTTCACCAGCCAAATGTTACCTCCTTTTCTAAAGCTCATCTGTAGAGTATCCCTTTGATTTTTATTAGAACCATAAATGTGTTGCAGCAGCAACACATGAGTTGGCATGACCAAGGATGACAAATTGGTCCTGCATGATAGATTTGGAATAATTCTAGAAACATTTGTCACAGTAATAGAGAGCATAGTGTTATGATGTGATGAGCTGTGAAGTTGCATAAGTCATACTGAAGTTTAATTGTTTTAGATTCTTGATAGTGATCTCTTTAGTTTGAAGGATAATGTATTTTAGATAGTTCAGGCAGATTATGTTTTTTTCCCCCAGATTTTTGTTTTAGATTTTTATGGCTGCACAAGAAAATTAAAATATATAACATGGCACCAAACAGTTAACCAAGGATACTCACCTTGAAAGCTGAGAAATGCAGCAGTCATACATTCTGTGTATCTACACCGAGTTGGTATACATCGGTGCTGTATCTTTATAAATATTGCATATATAAATTAAAAATTCTCCAAATTTTCCTCTAAAATACAATTTAAAATAGAAATTGAACTCTTCCACTGCATGCAAATTTTAACTTAAGAAATCTGGAAAACAAACTGTTATTTTATGTAGAAGGTATTATATAACAATATAAAGTATGTGATTTTTTTTCTGTCTAACAATTCTAATCTAGAAGCTCAGGTTGTGTATTTTCAACTTTTCTGGCCTTCTAGCACTTGTAAAAAGAACAATGGAATCCCTGCAGCAAACCCCAGCGCTGGAAGTGCCACTAAAGGTATGGACAGTTCTGAATTTACAGTTCTGTACAGTATGATTTTCCAATTATGAACCTAGGGACAGCCACTCTGAATTCACTTCAAGTAAATTATTTTTCTTATTTGCAGGTAATATCTTTTAAAAATTGTTTTATAAATTCCAAATGCAAACAACAGAAAGAAACCCTATCTTCATTTTAGAAGGCATGGTCATGGTCTACCCTTTCATTTGGCAATGCATATGTTGTAGTTTCAAAATATATTTCATTTTTGCCATGAAATTTTTGTTGGTGTGGTGCAGGAATACATGTCTTAAACAGTTTTTTAAAAATGTCAGGCATCCATTACTGTTGAAAATTTCTTCCTCCAAAAGCTGTAAGAGGAGAAAGAGAAGTAACTGAGACCTAAGTTGCTTTCCCCAACAAGGGTTGGATTTAGCCCTTGTAAAGAGCTTGCCCTCCTGTTCACCACAGTTGGCCATGACGCAGCTTTTGGTGATGCTAGGATTATATCCTTCCTTCACTGCATACTCCCAAGCTTTGGAAACCACATTTCTATAGGCCACGCACCTCAGCTTGCATGACTTCTTTTGTTACCGTGTCCTGAGAAAATGAAGCCTGACTGTTTTTTAAGGGTACTACATATAAACACTTCTTAATCACATTATGAGGCACCTGACACTGGTGTTGCACCACTAGTGTTGCACCAATTACACTTTGCTTGAAGAACTCATTGCCCTAAAACAAAATATGAACCTTGTAATAGCTTTCTAAGAAATACAAATGTTTGCATGTGTAGCCAAAGTGCCCATAGGACAGGATATAACTTTAATGTTGCATATTTCAAATTTAGCACTGACTGGCAGAAGGTTTTAATGTCCTGTGGAGAGAATGTCACATATCATCTTTGAAAAAGTGTCTGCTATAGCACATGTACAAATTAATGCGGAAACATTAGTAAATGAATTCAGTGGGTTGGTTTCTATGAGAGAATGGCAAGGGTCTGCTAAATGCAAGATGCATTTTTGGCAGGTAAAGAGAAACACATGCCTGGACAGTAGGTTGTCATGTGGAGTTTGAAATATTAGGACTTCTTTTTGGCAGTAGAGACATTTGGAGCTGCATGTTTTGTCGCCCTTGTTTTGTTTCCCTTTTCATGGGAAATTACTGCAGGAATCATGACATACTTTTAATCCTGTTGTACATTAGGCTACATGCAGCATGAAGATATTTCATCATCATCTGAAGTGTTAAGATTGGATCAATATAGAGGGCAGATATCAAACTTAGAGTAAAAACAGCTTGATCTTCGAAAAGAGATTAAAAGTGATCTTTTTTTAAAAAAAAAACAGGATTTATGCTCATGTTTTTTGTCCTTCTATATATTAAGAATGCAGCTATTAGGATTAGAGGTCTTAAGGATGAAAAGGTTTTTGTGACATGTTTCCTTCAGCACACTTACTTACTTCCTCTAAATATGTATTCTATGCTCTGTTAATATGAATATTATTTTTAATATGGAGGAAAAATGTCACTAAAGTAGGGCACAAATACACTCTAAATGGGGGGAGATTTCTTTTTCTTCTTTGAAGAAAAGGAAGCTTTATCTTTGAAGTAGCTTCTCTTCCAAAACGTAGCCATACTAATGAGACAGCTTTCATGTCAGAAAAGCTACTGTATGTCAGAGCACCAGTAACTGCAAAACAAACTGAAATAAAACCAAAACAACAACAACAACAAAAAAAAACAACCCAGAACTGAACAAGGGGATGGTTAAGGAAAAAAATGTATGCTTATCTACACCATACAAAGTTGTTGATTATAAGGACTCTGGTTTTGGTAACTCTTTTGGAAAGACATAGCATCGAACGAGAGAGCCCTTCAAGATGAGCTTTGCCTTGGACTTTTGCATATTGTGCGCAACACAGTGACCTGTATTTGTATTTTCAAAATCAAAGACTACTCTTAATTGCAAGGGCCCTTTAATCAAGCTTTTAATGATAATAATTAGCAGACACGAAGGACATTTCCTATCATTCAGGTACGTAATCTAGATCAACATCAACACCCAACGGGAAGGGCAAAAATAGTAGTCCTACTGTATGTGATGTGTTTGCTTAAAAATATATATATATATTTTTTTGACAGGTTCCCTTGAAAGTGATTCTTACGGCCGGGAAGTCCTGGGGGTGCATGCGGGAGCTGCGGGCGCCATGAGGCCTCGCCGGCCTCGCCGCCTCCGTGCGGAAATCCAGGCAACGGCGCTGCTGGATCGTTCCTAAGCACCTCGCGCTCGGCATGTGCATTTTTTTACTTCATTTTGTCTGTACCCTAGGCAACGGCAGGGAGATAAAACTGGTTTTTACCAGTTCATTGTGTTTCCTTTAGCCAAGGTAACCAGCGGGGAGCTGCTTTTGTTCACTGCTAAATTACTACGTGTAAGAAATGAGGGAAGACAGTATTAACCCTTTGGGAACACAGAAGATAAATGTGAATTAGATGGGTATTTAGATTCTAATACTAAGTATTCTATGAAGTGCTTGTATAAATATACTTATTATCTGGCATCAGAAGGACACTGTTTGAACGGTATCAGCAGCTGCTTAACTGTTATGTTCAGTTTACTTTACAGTTTGTGAGTAGAAGGCAGCTGCCTGGTTTGCATTCGCTCACGTAGCAAATGTCGCTTTCCACAGACTTAAGACAGCTTTCTTTAGAAATGAAGAATCTCAGCCATAATTTATATTTAGGATTTTAAAGCAAGTCAAGTAAACAAAACCTGAATGCCTAATGCCACTTAAAAATATCAAGAGCATTGTCAGTCCCCTTAATTTCACACTCAGTTCGTATACTGTAGTCTTAGCATGCTTTAGAGGCTGAACTAGAGGAGTCTTTGCAGGATTTATTATTTTTATTACTGAAATAGTGATAAGTACTTGTTTGGGTAAATTTTAAGATACAGCCTTCTACTTTAATGTTTAGATTTGTGATTGCGATTTTAGGGTTCTGTAGAGTTTATTCTTCAAATGAGTTTGTTTTATGAAATATTACTAGTTGCCAAAGCCTAGCTGATCCATCTCTGGGGAAGGTGAAACTATCCTTAAAGTCGACCAACTGTCTAGAAGCTGAAATCAGGCACAGCACTTTTAAGCAATGTTCCAATTTTAAGCAATGTTCCAGTGTTAGACCTCAGATGATCAAAATAAAACTTAACTTTTAAATGTACACAGTAACAGAGATTTTGGTTTAATTTCTATCATTAAACAATTTTGCATTGTGCTTAAAGACATTAAACTATTAAACATCATTTCCTTATGTTGCCTGTTAATCATACCTAACCTGTTAGGTGGACTGAGTCAGTTGTTGCTTCTAACAATTGATTCTGATAGTTTTTATAATTAGCGGTTGTCATGTCAGCAAAGCCAAAACCTTCCATGTGGCAAGTGTGGGTCAGATCTTTGGTTGAGGGAGGTGAGTCCTGATGCTGGGGCTGTGCCATGGGACTGGTCTGTGCAAGCAGGGGCTGTTTCCACCTTGCCAACAAAGAAATACAAGATTTCTTCTGCTTCTTGCTTGTTATTTATGACATTTTTATATAAATAAGAGCATAAACATTATCTTACTAAACTCAAAAACAGTTGAGAATGGAAATTTCAAACTTTCCATGTTTGGAATGGGCCTAAATAAGCGTGAAATATTCTATCCTCTCATCTATTTCATTCCTCTGGAAGACCTACAGCTTCCAGGAGGCTTGTACATATTGACCTTTATATCTCAAAGGCTACATTGCTAATCTCACTATTTGATGTCAAAAATTTTTATACGTCTCAGAGCTCACTGAGCTTCTACACTGTATATATTTCTTAAGATATGCACTTTCAAAAAAGGTAGTGTGTATTTTCAACATACAGCTTCAGGCTAAAAAAAACACAAATATACATTTAAGAAAATTAAGAACCTGCTCTGACCTGTGGATTAACATTTACGTGACTATGAAGTTGCAGAAATGTAGAGGTGACCATATAGAACAGATTTGCGAGCAAAGCCCTTCACAAAAGAATAGCAGTCAGAATTCCCCAGACACATGCACTTTTTATAAGTTATCATGTAGTGGAAGAGTATTTCATCCACTTCATGTCCTAAAGAGGGACTATGATGTCTTCTGGACACTGGGGTTGCCTGCTCAGCTTTTACAACTTTTCTTCTTGTTTTTAAAATTCCGAGGAATAAGCTCGAAAAGAAGACAACCCATCTATAAGGATGCTTTATAACACACTTCCGAGGGTGTGTTTTTCCAATCAAAAAATTATTTGTTTTCTTCTGATTGTAGCCTGTGCGTGAACGATAATATATGCAGTGTAGTTAGATGGAGACTAAAGCTATTTGATACTGTACATTCACCCAGCATCTACTCTACTATAAAATTTTGCAAATATTGGGCCAAACTCTTCTTGGTGGTGACCAACAAAGTTCCATCTCCATGTGAGCAAGAACTTCTCCTGTGAGGGTGACAGAGCCCTGGAACAGGCTGCCCAGAGAGGTCTCCTTCTCCGGAGATCTTCCAAACCCGCCTGGATGCCACCCTGTGCCACGTGCTCTAGGTGTCCTTGCTGGAGCAGAGGGGTGGGACTGGATGGTCCCTTCCAACCTCAGCCATTCTGTGATTCTGTGATGTGTTTTTTGACCTTTTGGTTCTGTTCTTCATGACTAATTGGATAAATGTCTAGTTTACATTATTTGCCCTACCCTATTCCGTGTTAAGTGGCTTGTTAGATTGAAATCTTCTGACTTCCAAGTTCTTCTCTGGATCAATTTTTTACTCATATAAGAACCCAAATATAGAAGGACAGAAGTAGATAGCTCTTTAGCATCATTCCCTTGAACACACTCCTTGATTACAATTAGTGTGTTTGCAGTTGGTTTTAAGGTCGTCTGGACAAGCATAAGTTTTACCACTCCTGTGTTCTCATCTATGTATTACTACAAAATCAGGGCGGTACAGTTTTTCCAAGCCTTTGGCAAACTACCCTTGAGCATGCTTGAATCTAAAGAGCCATTATATGGAAGCAAGACTAGTCCTGACCACAAATTTCATCCCAAACTGAGGTGAAAACATTTTGAATTCACTGACTGCCAGAAATTCCTTTTGGGTGGCACAGTAATTTCTCACCAGAGAACTCAAGACTCCTTCTGTAATAAATGACTACCTTTTCAGATTATTTTAATTCAGCCTGGAGGAGACTGTGAAACATGAGCAGGGTGTAATAGGAGCAATCATAAAAGTGCTTTTCAACCCTTAAAGTGCTATATTTGACCTCAAAATTAATCCTTTTTTTTTTTTTTAAATCCCTGCAATGTATACAATGGTCCTGAAAGGGCCACAAACAAACTTTCTGCTTGAAGTGGAGAATCCTACAACAGTACTGGTCAGTGAGTATTAGAAATCACAGAAGAGATCGGAGAGAGGAATAGCTGTCTTAGCTTCAGTTATCTTTTTGAAATTTCCCTAATTGATTCTCTGAACGCAGTAATGACCCCTTCTGAACTGATCTGTGCTCTTGGGTTTAGTCTCAGTTGTGTCACTAGTGGCCTGAAGGTTCCCTTAGACCAGGGATGCAAAAGGTGTAAATCTTTTGACTTGCTGTGTGAAGTAGTGGGGAAGATGGCTATCATCTGAAAACAGTTTAAAACTGTGAGAATGGAAGAGCACAGCTCTTTGCTTTTTGCCATGGACATGCCTGCTCAGGACTTGATTTTTTTTGTGTTCACACACACTGTGGAACTGCAGGACTCTGATCCTCAGTGTTGGTTCAACTTGCTGCAGTTCAATCTTTGGCCTCAGATTTGTATGTCCAATATTTTTATGTGTGGGAAAAGTCACCATATTAACATATTATAGGGTGTTTCAGAGTAGATTAAGAGGATTCATTTGCTAGAGCATCAAGGACATTGCACAAGCTCTTAAAAGTAATTTAATTTCATTTTTGGGAGACCACAGAGCCTGATCCTCACATCTTGCTTAATATGATTTGAAAGTGAAGCCAAAGGATGTGTTAAAGGTTAGATTATTTCTTCCTAATATACTTACTTATTGGACCAAAAGAGCTCTTCAGCCCTACTGGTAGAAGATTAGACTGGATAAACCCCAGAGTACTTGGTCTGAGCTCTTGACCAGGAGGTTGGAGTAGAGATCTGCTGAGGTTCCTTCACACATGAGTTTTACCATTATTTTGTAATCCTAATACCATTCTTCATTGGACAACAGCAAACTTATCTTTGAAAGATGAACTAGAAAATCCCTTTGTGTATTTTGCTGTAATACATTTAAATACACAGTGCTGGATGAGAAGAAGTTGTCCCTCCTTCCCCCATATGTTATCTCATCCCATGTCAGCATTTACTACGTTCAGTGGCTCACTTTTGGCTAGCATCCTTCCTCTTGGTGTTCGCAGGTTGTCAGCACCATTCCCATTTCTGCCATTCTCGAATAGCTTTAGGAGGTAAAATATTTCTGGGATTTAAAGTGGGTTTTAATCATTTCCTATCTTTGTTTTTCTGGGAAGCTTCCACAGCATGGTAGGATGACTGTTTACTGAAAACAGCTGTCTAAATCAGTTGGTTCTCTTGAGACATCTTTAAAGTACACTTCTACTATGCGTTTTTGTAAGATCCTCTCATGGTATCAAGTGTGTCTTCATTATCCATTATAAGTACAAACAATTTATTATCCTACCTGCTGTCTTAATTGCACAGAATTGTGTTCTACGTTTTGGAGGTCCAACTGTGAACTGAGTTTTCCGGATTTTGTGGTCCATTTTTCCAAATCACCTTCTCCCTTCAAGATTAATTAATTGCCAATTTTTAGATTACTGCTTCCTCACCTTGCTTTGACGATGTAAATTTAATCCAGTGCTCCCTCTTCTCCTGCACTTCACAGTTGCTGGTATTATTGGTAGTCAGGTTCTCACTATTTGCTAACCACAGTAAAAAGAAGAAATTGCGAATCTTCCTACTTCTAACCTTTGTGCCCTCAGCTTGATCCCCTCTTCTGTTTCAGAAATCGATAGGGACTCTGTGATGACATCTATGGCACTATTTCCTGGCTAACTATATTTTTTCTATAGTTTTATATTTTTTTCATGTTCAGTGTTTCCACGGTATCAAAAATTGACTGAATAAATTCTCTTTGGTTTTCTCTCTTTTTTTTCTCTTCAGTG